GTTATATGTAAAGTAATCGGAATGTTAACTTCAGAAATCGTGAAGTTGAGTTGATTCAATCTGTTCTTCTTCTGCAGAACAAGTGGGCGGCGCAGATTTTCCTCGTCCTCCAGCTCGGAAGACTTTGTAGCAAACACTAGCGACGAGACTTCAAGTTCATCGTCCGAGACTTCGTCTTCGGAAACACCGTCGACGGAGGAGGGTAAGCAAAATATTCTCCCTCCAAACCACGAAGTCTACGGTTAAATTGCAGATTTTGAACCACATCGAACAACTCCTTACTACACACGTGCTAGAGGGGAAACTTTGCCAACTGACGAGGGTAAGCAAATAATTTTCTCACTAAACCGTGAAGTCTACGATATTGCAGCTTCTGAACCACCTCGAACAACCTCATACCATACACGCGGTAGAGATCAAAGAAATCGGAATCGGTTTGTTTCACAATGTCTTTTTTAGCTTTACAGTCTTAATAATCTTTGAGCATGCCGTTTTAGTGTTTCACGAAGGCGAAGAAGAAGCAGCTCCTCAAGCAGCGATAACGAAGACGAGGTAACTATTCTTCTTTTTTCTGTCTCCACTCATTTTCTAATTTTTATTGCTACTTTTCAGCTTGGAGAAGACTCAGAGGGCGAAGAAGTTCGTGGTGATTCAGAATCTATCATTATGGACAATCATGACAATGTAACATTTGTTAACTTTCGTATTATCGTGTTTAATGAAGTTTTTTGAAGGACAATGACGTCCAAGTGATTGAGGAAAACGCAAACTTGGTATGTGCTGTGATGCTCAGTTTCTTTGACTTCTATTGTCATTCTATTAGAGGGAGCAAACAGCCAGAAATTGGCAATTGTTAGATCTTCTTCAAATAGTATTCCTTTTCGGGTGTATGACATTCCCTTTCACTAGCTAATGAACACTCTTTGGTTTCTGTTAGACCGTTCGGAAATTAAGTCGATTGACCCTAAAGACTAAGTTAGAAGCTGAATTTTAACAAAAGCACTGTCCGGTCAAGACTCCCTTAAACATCCGGCTTTGTTTATTCTATTCCAGTGTAAGGCTTAAGCTATTAATTTTTGTTTTTTGGTTGACTTAGTGTTTGTGATTATTAGCATTGGACATTCCGCACAAAATCATAGTGTGCAGTTTAGATTCGGTGCTCATTTCACTCTTACCCTAAGGCCGCACACCGTGGCTTGTTCCACCGACGCCAATA